TTCTTCGTTTGATAGAACCCCAGAGATATTAACGTAAATCTAAATTGATATACTATTATACTTAAAGTGATGAATTTTTTTCTTAGCTATACTACTAAAACATTCATTTTTCACTTGAAGGTCATTGACATTTTTTATGTAGTTATTTTAAAACGTTTTTATTGATATATGGACATGCATTTGAAACAAGATTTAGTATTAAATTTTGCATCTAGAAAGGTTTTATGAGAATAATTGAAGGCTTAATACGGTTTAATAGACATGACCATGGATAACTCTTTACTAAAGGACCAAATTGAAATCTACTTTAAAACATAATTTATATGGTCCTTTTCATTAAGGAGCTTTGATTACACTGTTGGTTAGACTGTAAAAGGGAACAACATATTTTCAAAAACAATTTGGCCTTAAGTTGTAAAGCCGAACATTTTCATTCTCTATCATTAAGTAATTTCACTTTTGGTATATATAGAGAAACTTTTGCATATGTGCACCAAGACATAATACAAGAGTAATTCAAGAAATTATTGATCCTAATAGTAAAAACTTGGAAATTTGAACATCCACAGAAGATGAATATATAACTTATGGAACAGTCACACAATGGAGTATTACATAGCTGTAAAATGACTGATTCACAGCTATATGTAACAGTTTATAGCTATACGCAACAACATAGGAGGATCTAGAAACATAATAGTGAGAGAAGAAAACAAGTACCAGAGGACTATATACAGTAAGATACCACTTTTCATAAGGCTCAAATCCAAAACAAAACTAAAAAATATACTACTTAGGGATGCAGACATATATGATAAAGTTATTTTTTTAAAAGGGCAAGGCAGGTGGCTGAGGTGGGTGGGTTGTTTGAGCTCAGGAGTTCGAGAACAGCCAGGGCGACATGGCAAAACCCCGTCTCTACAAAAAATACAAAAATTAGCCAGGTGTGGTGGCATTCGCCTATAGTCCCAGATACTTGGGAGACTGAGGTGGGAGGATCTCCTGAGCCAAGATAGTGTCACTGCACTCCAGCCTGGATGACACAGACCCTGTCTCAAAAAAAAAAAAAAAAAAAAAAAAAAAAAAAAGGGCAAGGGGATAGTAAAACATAAAATTCAGGATAGTAGGCTACCTGTAGAGAGGACAGGCATGGAAGTGGGATAGGGGAAGTTGGTATGAAGATATCGGTAACACTCTAGTTTTTTGGTTGGGTGCTGTGTTTATGCATGGTTGTTGTATTTCATAACAATACTTGAATGCTCTTTTATATGTATCCTTTAAAAGGTTATAATTACTAATAGAATGTCAGTAAGAGAGTCCTACTTAATGCCTACTACATATTTGTATACAGATGGCAGGAAAAATTTAAGAATATAAATCAAAGCGATAATTGAGAAATTTAAAACTGTGCAGAGAATTTCTATGTGTATAAGTTTCATATAAAATTTACTTGAAAGGATTTTAAAAATCATATTTATCACTCAGAGTCTCAGTAGATAAGTCACTTTACATTTTGTTTTTATGAGACAGGGTCTCATTCTGTCACCCAGACTGGAGTGCAGTGGTGCAATCACAGCTCACTGCACTGTCTGCCTCCCGAGTTCAGATGATCTTCCCAGTTCAGCTTCCTGGGTAGCTGGGACCACAGGCACATGCCATTCCTGACTAATTTCTTGTATTTTTAGTAGAGACAGGGTTTCACCTGTTGCTCAGGCTGGTCTCAAACTCCTGGGCTCAAATGATCCGCCCACCTTGGCCTCCCAATATGTTGGGATTACAGGCGTGAGCCACTTTTTATCATGTTCTATGAGGTGGTAAAAAATAAAGTAGATAAGGACATCCTAAAACAACATCATACTAGAAAATAGATTTATTGGTTATCAAACCCCGTTTTAAAGACTTTTTAAACCTAAGAGCTACAATTCTGAAATATTTTTGAGAATACATTATTTTTAAAAGCTATATATTTTTTTATATACTTGCAGGGCTGACATGGGTTAATTGCAAAGTAGAAAACAATAATTGCCTGTAAACAGTTTTATCACTATTGTTATATCCCATGAAAACCTAGGATTGCCATTAATTCTCTGTTTATTACCAGGTCACTTGCAATGGCAAAGTATTTGTATAATGCATATTTTATGGTACCTCTTTCCTCTGTGAAATTTTAACACTATTTTACTTTAGCAACAGATCTCTTAGGTGTTTATTAAAGAAGTACACTTTACTTGCACCCGTTTTCTGCCCCACAGGTATTCTCAATGGGTGAGGTAGTCATGGTGAAGTGCTTATCCCAAAGGCTAAAAACAGAATTGAGGAATAAGAATACATGCATTCTTTTTGAGATTTCTGTAACAGAAATCTAGTGAAATATTAGTGGAGAAGCATAAAAATTAGAGTAATCATCTCAGTATCACTGGGCAATAATGGATGTTAGAGTATTGAACTGGTAATCAAAAGAACTGAGTTTGAATATATAACCTCTTATTTGCTGAACAGTGATATTCACTTAACATCTTTGTGCTTCACTTTCCTCATAAACAGAGATAATAACTTCTATCTTCCTCAGAGGATTGTTAGGAGAATGAAAATAACATTGCCATACATGAAACACCTTTATAATCCTCACGAATATGCAAATGTTAGTTTGCCACTAGAGGAAGGTCTTTTTTCTTTTTGTAATATATTAAAATTAACAGTAAACTATAACAGAGTTTATTTAGGCATTTTTGGAAATTGCCACATAAACCACATGAATTTTTAATAAGAAAATGCCTATAGGGTCTGCATGAAAAAATATTTTACTGATTTTCACAGATGAACACTTAGATGTAAATGTCAAAGCATATTTCCACCAAATCTTCAGGATATTTAGATTTATTAATTAATTCATCAAATCAAGCCTTGCTATGAAACCTCCAGGGAGATCATCAGTATGGTAATCTCTCTTCTTTACTTAGTTATGGGGGAAGAAGTCATGTCTCTCATGAGTGTCTGTTCTGCTCTCATCAATATAGGAACGTAGTGGACAGACTGGATGGACCTTTGGGTTTGGAATTTTACTGCTTGCTACTCCAGGGCCCAGTTTGATTTGTAGTTCTGGAATTTTTATCAGCTTATCTGCAAGTTGCCTTTGCCACAGTGAAACGGATTCATGTACAGAAAGACTGACAATGCACCCAAGAGTGATTTGATAATTTACAGTAAGAAATGTTGTAAACTTATCTTCAAAATAACACTTATGCATTACTTTTCTTTCTAGTTCCTAAAGGTTCTTTAATTCATTATCTCATTTTGGAACCTCTTGACAGAATGACTGAATTTATTTTAAACTGTTTATTTTCTCGATTTATCAGATGAAAATACCTGAAATGTAAAGCAGGACAGGAGACTATATCCCAGTTGTGAAAAATAACATACTGTTAGCAGTTCTTATCTCCTTCCTGTCTTTTGTACGCATGTTTATATTATTGAGATTATATTGTATATGCCATTCAAATGCTTACATTTTCATTTTTTTCTGCCTATGGTGGAAATATATAGCTTTTGTGGAAACTTTAGAAAAGTTATGGAAAATAGACAAAAGTCTAAAGCAGAAAATGAAAGCGGCATATAATGTACTACTGTATGAATGATTAACCACTGGGAACATTTTAGTGTATTTCCTTCCAGGACTTCTTATTTTTTATTTTTAGAAAAGGAATGGGGATCACATCAAGGCAGAAGTGTTTGTTGGGTGACAGACACTGGCTTGGCTGGGATCAAGCAGCCTCTCTGCTCTTCAGCCCAGCGGACTGGAAGAAGCAGATCAGCACTCTTCTTCCTGGACAGGGGTAGTGAAAATGAGTATTTTCCTTCAAAGCTCACTTCTTTCCGTATTTTAAGCGGACGCGGACATTGTTCTTTTCTCGTGCCTTCCCACCTTCAAGACCCACCAACACCTGCCTGCCCACATTTCGAGTTATCCTCCTCGGCTCCTGCAAGCCCGCACTCTTCTCCAGGGCGGCTACTCTCCGCTCATCCAGACTCCCGCCCCCAACTGAGCCTTCTTCCTGCGATGACCGAGGAGGTGGAAGGAGACCACCACTTCCGAGCTTCCAAGGGACCTTCAAACCTGAACCGCAGAGTCAGAGCCCTCGCCCCGTAGAAGAGTCAGGTGCGCCCGGGGGCCCCCATCGGAAGCTTCGTGCCTCCCCGTGGAAAGGTTGCGAGCAGGCAAGGCCTTCGTGGCCGCTGAGTCCCCTGCTCCAGGGGCGGCGGCCGCTCTCAGAAAGAGCGGCCTTTCTCGTCCCTCCCGAGGTTATCGTCAGAGTGCACTTCCTTGGGGAAACAGAGGTCATTCTCTCGAGTCCCCCCTTTCTGCTGTTTTCGGGAGGAAGAAGGTCGCTAGACCCAGGCTAGCTCCCCGACTCTTGAGAGAGCCGGGAAGGCCTCTGTTGCTGAACGCCGAGACCGCGGCCAGCGGCCAGGTCGTCTCCCTATCGCTTTGCAAGCCGGGAGAAGTGCGTCCCTTCTCGCTTGCCTTATGCCTGGCGAAGAGGGGACCGCACTACAGTGCTGCCGCCGAAGGGGGGAACGCTCACGTGCAACTCTCGGCTTCCCAGTGAGCAGCAGTAGCTCCTGGAAAACCAACGCTAAGACTACCAGGGTCAGTATTAGCTTGTCTTAGGAGCCGGCACAGGGGGAAGGAACAACCATTCGCAAGAGCTAGATAGCTGACCTCCCTCTTTTCTCCCCCTTGGCTGGCCTGGACCGCCTGGGGCTGCGAGCACGCACCGGCGGCCGCGGAACTTGCTCAGCCTCTGACAGCTCGGTGGGAACACCTCCGAGTGTTGAGTCCCGACTTAAGGGGCGGGACGGGGCGGGGTGAGCGCGCGCGGGGCGGAGCGCGCGCGAGCCGGGACGCGAGGAGGGAGCGCGCGAGTGAAGCGGCACCGAGCCGAGCCGAGCCGAGCCGAGCCGAGCCGAGCCGAGCGGAGCCGAGCCAAGCCGAGCCGAGCGGAGCTGGGAGGTGCCTGGGGAGAGGCAGGCAGAGCCCCGCTGGCCGCCTGCGGCTCAGTACTGATCGTGCCGCGTCGCCGGGCTCTGCGTACCCCTGCCTCTGCCCAGGCATCCGCAAAACTTTTATTCTCTGGGGCCCCAGGGGGTGTGTGAAGGAATTGGAACGTTCGGCCATCTCCGCGCTCCCCTGCGGCGGCGACCGAGGGGACCTGCATCCCTTGTCCGCCGGGCTGTGGAGCCCTGCGCCTCACCTGCTGATCGCTCCCGGGAATCTCGAGGGGCACCCCCGGAGGGACCGCGCGGGCGCTGGCGCCCCTGAACTCTCCCGCTCACCGCGGCAGACCCGCCCGGCGCAACTTTAACTTGATTCCTCTTGCCCAATCGGGGCATCCGCGGCTGCTGCTGCGGCGGCTGCTGCTACCGCTGCCGCCGCTGTCTCACAAAGGGGCTGAGGAGGGGAGGCGGCGCGGGCGGCAGGGACGGGCCTCCGGGCCGCCGAGGCAGGGAGACAAAAGGGAAGCTGCCTGTGCTCGCGCTGCCCGCTCGGAGCCGCCTGCTCGGCTGCCTCCGGCTGGGTTCCGCGAGCCTCGCCCCCACCCTCGGGCACTGCTCCACCTCCCTCCCGGCTGGCTGTCCCCGCAGTGCTCCCGGACCCGGCGAGCCTTCGGGGCGCGCGTCGCTGGTGGTGGTTGAGGCTCTAGCGATAATAAATGATAGAGGATACAATGACTTTGCTGTCTCTGCTGGGTCGCATCATGCGCTACTTCTTGCTGAGACCCGAGACGCTTTTCCTGCTGTGCATCAGCTTGGCTCTGTGGAGTTACTTCTTCCACACTGACGAGGTGAAGACCATCGTGAAGTCCAGCCGGGACGCTGTGAAAATGGTGAAGGGCAAGGTAGCCGAGATCATGCAGAACGATCGACTCGGGGGGCTTGATGTGCTGGAGGCCGAATTTTCCAAGACCTGGGAGTTCAAGAGCCACAACGTGGCGGTGTATTCCATCCAGGGCCGAAGAGACCACATGGAGGACCGCTTCGAAGTTCTCACGGATCTGGCCAACAAGACGCACCCGTCCATCTTCGGGATCTTCGACGGGCACGGGGGAGAGGTAGGAGCTACCCGGGGCTTTGTATTTGTGTCTGTGTATATATCGTGTGCGTGTGTGCGCGCGCGCGTGTCTGTGTGTGTGTGTGTGTGTGTATAAACAGGACAGCGTGTGCGCAGCGTGAGAGGATCTGGGTGCGAGGGGCGTGGTGATGACACCATGGTACCTGGCTGGACAAATGCGGCTCAAGTTGCCAAAAGCACTGCTCGATCCAGACTTCTTGGGGCTGAGGGTCCACTTTAGGGAAAGGAGAGTCATCCGCAGCATATTTGTTGCTACTTAATACGAGGTTCCCAAGGCTGGAACCCAGCAAACACTGTGCTAGCTTAGCAAGGAGAATTAATGGTATCTCCAGTGAACTTTGGTCCCAGACCCCAGTGCCCTTGTTCTAGGGTTTGAGTTGAACTAGGCACAGAGAAGGAAGACAACATCTTTTATGCTTCATTAGGAAAAGAGACTATACCTGCAGAGCGAGCTCATTGAGGGTGAAGGAAGCTGTGACTCCTTCCCATCGCCTTCACTCTAGGGAGGAATCCGAGGGGCTGCTCTGCGCTTCTTTCCAACTCTATCAACTTTACAAGTGCAATCGGGCCAATTGACAGGAGCGCCTCGCTGGCCGCTTGTTTTTACCAGGATCTCAGAGCAGGACCTAGATGTCTCTGGCCTTTGCAGAGGTGGCTATGCCCGCAAAGGAGGCGGTGCCTTGACCTCACCCTTGCGCCCTGGCGGGCTTGGGGGTGCAGAAGTCGCCCTGCTTCTAGATTCCTTTGTTTGTGGTTCATCTGGAAACAGGAGATAGCTAGAGGCCGGTTCAGTTCCCTCTCCCACATTTCAGCAGCACCCGGGTTGTGCGCTGAGGCCCAGATTTCCTGGAGGTTAGGCAAGGGTTGGCTCTGATCGTTGCGCATTGGCCCAGGCAAAGTGAGAGGCTAATGTGGCTCTAGCGCCATGCTCCAAAGAACACTGGACCAATCACCCCATCTCTCAATTTGGCAGTTTGTAACGGGTTCTTTGCCGCATACTCTTTGTTTTCCCTTTTGGCGGCATACTTTTCTTATTCTTAACCCCTTCCTGTTTTTGATTACACCCTTCCCCTGAACTCCCATACAAGTTTTCCCCCAACTTTCTTCTCTGACCTCTGATCTCTGGGTAGGCTGTAGGGAACTGCAGGGACTGCCATTCTTTTTCAAGCATTTGCTTGTTCTTTGGCCTTTGTTTTGGGTAAACATTGAGAAAGCTTTCAACTGGATATCTCATCTGCATTCCTCACCCACCACTCTGCTAATCTTTTCATGCTACTGTGCCTACCTGCCTTGTGGAACCAACTTTATCAAGAATGACAAACTTAGTAGGAAAACTCATTTGGTAGAACTGAAATCAGTTTTTGCCATTTTCCATCCACCCTAGCTTTTTTTATATTCTGTTTTTTCAGAATGCAAGTTTCTCACTGGTTGTAAATTTGTAACCTCTTGGGTAATGTTGGGATCCCCTCCCCTTGGTCACAGAGTAAGTGAAAGATGTAAAATTAATTGAGGGAAAAGAGGCTGTGTACATGGGCAAAAACATGCCATAATGACAAAGTTGCCAGTATAACGGCTGATTTGTCTTCTTGGCTTGAAGTAGACTATCTGTATTTTCATTTTTTTGTGCCTAAATTCAGTGAGGGTGAAGGAAGCTGTGATTCCTTCCTTTGTAAATCATTTAATAAGCTTATATTTATTATATATTTTTATATTAAAATTGGTGGCTGGTAATAATCTGCTTCTGGTCTTAGAAAGCAGTTTTAATTTTATTAAAGATTTGGTTGTAATAGTAATGTGGTGAAATTTTGAGTTGTGGTTGTCTGGGTGTGATGCATTGGCATAATTTTAGCCTTGGGTTAAAAAAGTGTAAGTGATTGGGTGATTTAAATTTTTTTTCTTTTAAGTTGATACTGTAAAACCTGAAATGTGCAGACCAAAACACTTTTCAGGTTGAAAATTTTCTAGTACTATCTTGTGGTAAAGGTACCCTCCAGAAAAGGGACACGATAAATGCTTTCATTTTACTAAAAGTATTTTACACGTATGTGGCTTGTCATTAAATTTTTTAACAACAAATGAAAAGATGATCATTGTTAGCCAAACCATGAAATACTTTTCTTTGTGCCTTACATTAAAAAGCATACTGTTTGCAAAATAATTGATATTATCAGTACTCTTAAATAGAATACTTGTTCTGTTCACAATCTCTTACCGTATGTAGCCAGTTAGTTCATTTTGGCTTTGTTTTAGGGCAAAATAAGGGGAGTGCTACAACAGGAGTTACTTAGTTGCTATTGGGAGTATAACGGTGATGGATAATATTAGGTAGTTTCTCTCTTGCTTTTTCTTTATGTATAATCATTCAAAATCCTACCATCGAATTCTTGTGTGTTGTTTAGCTCCTTTAACATTCACCAGAGGAGGGTGCCACTGTTTGATTTTAGTATAGATGATGTTAGCTCCTGTCACAAAAGAGGAAGCTTTTTCTGAACTTTCTATTATTTATGTATATTCTGTCTCTAGAATGGTACAGAAGATAAATGAGGAGTTTAATTTTATTTCTAATAACTCACACTAATAAGGTAGGCCATCAAAAACTAGGGCCCATCTATAATTGTAGTGCTCTTTAGATGCACTACATTACCTTGTATATCCTTGTATATCCTTCTATATCCTAGGAGACATTATCCTAGGAGACATTACCTTGTATATCCTTCTATATCCATTTCATCTGTGTATATTAATTTCATCCCCCACCTTTTTTTTTTTCTTTTAAGCTGAGATGCTGATAGCTGGAGAAGTTGTGACCTTCCTAAGGCTATGTGGCTAGTTCAAGGCCTTCAGTTTGTTGATCTCCATATGAAACCACTGGACAAATTGGCTTGAATATTTACCTAGATAGATGGTGCCCTGGGGATACAAGGGTGAATGAAATATAACCCCTATCCTCAAAAAGTTTCAGTCAAATGAGAGAGATAGACCTCTATACCAAAAATTATAGTCATGGTACACTTAGAGTGTTATGGTAACACAGAGGAGGGACATTTAAATCAGATTGGGAGGTAGGAAGGCCCAGGAAAAAACACCTTGAAGATATTGTTTACTTTAAGATTAGAAGCATAGGTTTTGACTTGAGATCTGACTTTGAATCTGTGCTCTGCTTTATAGTAGTTGCAACATTGGACAAGTTGCTAAAACAACTTTATCTGGGAGTTTATTATCTAGAAAATAGGGATAATAATGTGTGTAAGGTGTGTCTTCATCAGTTGTATTATACCCTGTCTAGAGAAGTACCTAATGGAGAGAAGGATATGGAAGAGGAAAGGCCAAGAAGACAAGAAGTCTGCAGTGCTGGGGCAGCAATATTCAAGGGAGAGAGACTCTTCCCGTGCGAGCCACAGCTTTGATCACTATGAAGATGTATGTAGTGCAAGGATAATTTATTAGGTATCTCCCAAACTCTCTATATCTCAAGGTTCTAACTTTCAGTGGACTTCTGATTACTAATTCAGGATTTCAGTTATCCAGATATTTGAGAAAACTGTGTCGTGGCTTCAGGTGTAAATTTTCTTACAGTCAAAAGGAATATTCTCTATGATTAATTAGTAAGTTGGTATTCTGATTTGTACTTCAGCCTCTTATAGATTTGGGTTACCATGAGGTAGTTCCTCTTGAGCATATTTAACTGTGGATTCTTTGGCAAAGATATGTCTCTGGACTTTTTATGCTGAGGACCAGACTCTGTAGGGCTGTGTCTTCTTCTAGATGGATGAGATTTTAAAGAGCCTTATCTCAGTGGTCCTACAGGCCAGCTTCCTCCCTTGATTCTAACCATGATACTGTGTGTGGATGGTTCACTGTGTGTGTATGTGTCTAAAGGTATGGCGGTGATTGTTTTCTTATATAACAAGATCAAAACAACAAAAAGGTAAAAAGGAGCTCGTTATGTAAATTGATGTAGAAAGATTATTTTAAGATAAAAATGATTTTTATCTAGGAAAATCATTGTTTTTATGCTTACTTGTAATTTTTATTTACAGGCAAAAGGTGTTTTGTTGTTGTTGTTTTTTATTTTTTTAATACTATCTAGAAGAAGTATCACTAAATCCTTTGGCACCTCTATCAATGTTTATGGGTGAAGCCTAGCTAGAAGAATAGTTGTTATGTGCTCCATATGTTCATGAGCATTACTTTATTAAAGGTCTTATGTATCTTGACAATTGACACACAGCTTGGCCAGTGGTTAAAGCCTAGAGTTCTACATTTTGCATGAGGGAGAAGCCATACTTCAGGCGCTTGCCAGGGACTGCAGTCTTGAGGCTAAGCACTTCTCAGAAGCTCAGAAAATAAACTGCTTATGGAGGGTTGCCTGAAGAATATATATATATAGTCTGATTCTTTGGATCAGTGGTTCTTAACTTTTCTTGAGTCATGCTGCTCTTTGAGAATGTTATGAAACTACAGACATATTCCCCAGAAAAAAGGACATGCATATCAAATTTTCTTTGTAGTTTCAGAGACAAGTGGATACATGAAGCCTCTGGATTTCAGGTTAGTCTAGATAGAATAAAATCTGGTTTTGATACATTTAGATCTGCAAGAAACTGTGTATCTGAACCCCTTGCTTGGCCGTCCTGCTTTCCTCTCCATCATTTGCTTTTATTGAATTGTTTGCTGTCATTTGCCTATGAGGGTTGTTTGGAGGAATAGTCTCCTCAGCTCTGAGAAATCAACTGCAAGAATGTTGTTGAAAAATCATTTGTTATATTATATAGTATCATTTTAATGAGGACTGAGGGAGAAACATTACTCTATTACCTATTTATCTTAAGGAGGCTGAATTGTGTAACTGATTGGGCCATCCTGGGTTTGTTGGCTGCTACAAGTATTAAGAGCCAAACCTCTGACCTACCTCTAGCGAATGTGCAGACTTTTATGGAATACAGTCATCTGGTACGTGAACCTCACTCCTAGGAAAGC